ATGAGGTCAACAGGAATCTATGGAACATGGTTGAACTCAGCCCATATATTCATTACTGACTTTTACACACTTCCATTCAAATGTATACCAAAGCAGTTGCCACCGAGCTTACATGCCTTCTTGTGTATTCCCTTTGAGTTTCAGTCTTGGAGGGGGGTTTGATTACTTGCCTTGATGGCTCCCTGGTGAACAGCTTGCTTGTTCTTGTATATAGCCAAAGAGACTACTGGTTTTTATTTTGTTTTTTTGTTTTTTTTCCTGCTGGTCTTTCTTTCAGGAAGTATCTTCTGTTCCTTTAGCTGCTCTGGGTTGGTCTGCATGTTCAGATGGTTCTTATGTCTTTAGGAAAATCTACCTGGGGCTGTATAAGAATCACCTGGGGAATCTGTATGTTGTGAGTCAGTATATATGGCATGGAAAGACAAATTCTTAGCAGGGACTCAAACTGGAATGAACCAGTTCAAAGCCCTGGCTTACTGAGTAGGGAGAGCTCACTAAGCCAACTGTTATTTCAGAACAGGTAAGGTGCATGCTTTCAAGAGTAACTTTAACAGCAGTATTTCCACTCAATGAATACAATCCTACACATATTTTTCTATAAGGCATCTTCAGGATTTATCAAAAAAGGCACATCAGTCATCCAAGTCCCAGCAACAAGTTGCGCCATGGGTTTAAACGGACCATAGGATCAGCACTGGACTGCCAACTACAAGGTCAGCAGTTCAAACCCACCGGCTGGTCTTTGGAAACCCTATACATGGCCACTAAGAGTCAGAATTGACTCTACAGCACTTAATAATAACTTAACAACATTAACAACATAGTTAAATAAATGGTATACCTTTAATATGGAGTCCTGGTGTGACATTGTGGGATAAATAACTGGACTGCAAAGTCCATTTGAACCACAAGGTATATGGCTTAAACTCACCAGCTGTTCCTTGGAAACCCTGTGCAGTGTTGTTATGAGTTGGAACTGACTCAATGGCCTTTAACAACAAGAACAACTACACTTTAATATGGGTTGGCCTGTTAAGAAAACTTTTCTTGTGTGATTGACTGGTTTTTCCTCCTTTTAGTTACTATCATTTAATCAAGGTAACAGTGTGAAATTTAATCAAGGTAACAATGTGAACAATTTAGGGAATAATTGTTAAAGAAAATTTGAATTTGTAAATAGAGATAGAGGCCATTTTTATTATAAATATCTCGCCTTGGAAATGTTGTTGTTAGGTGTTATTGAGTTGCTAACGACTCATAGCAACCCTATGCACAACAGAATGAAACATTGCCTGGTGCTGGGCTAACTTCACAATTGTTGCCACACTTGAGACCACTGATGTTGCCACTTTGGCAATCCATTTCACTGGGGTCTTCCTTTTTTTTCTGACTTTCCGCCTTAGTAAACATGATATCTCTCTCCAGTGACTGGTCCCTCCTGACAATATGTCCAAAATATGAGAGATGAAGTTTGGCCTTCCTGGCCTCCAAGGAGCGCTCTGGCTGTATTTCTTTCAACACAGATATGTTTGTTCTTTTGGCAGCCCATGTTGTTGTTGTTGTTGTTAGGTGCCATCGAGTTGCTACTGACTCATAAAAACCCTA